GCACATTCAAACGAGCTGCCCGCGTTTCGACAGTTTCTAATAACCTGTCTGCTTTGATATAGATAGTTGAAGTGGGCTCGACATTTTACCGTCTAATGAAATTAGCATTAACGTAGAAAAGCATATAAAACATGAAAATGGTTAAGGTTTCAATAATAAATTAACACGTCACGGAACTTCGAGATATATCGCAGCGAAGGTAAACAGAAACTATTGTTGATCATTTGGTGTCGCAGTTGTTTGTCATTCTGTTACTATAGTTACTTATACTGTAGATGTTGTTATTCGACATCAATCATCTTGTATATCGTAGTTCATTCCAAATCAACGTATTAACCATTTGTGGGCGAATGTCGACATTTCGGCGAGATGAAATTTTCAGATGCGGAAGACTAAGTCCCAGACAGATAATTTAATTACTCGAACGGCAAGAGATCGGCACGTAGTTCCCTTTTTTATTACATTTTATTTAAGCAATTCATATATAATTGAGCTGCATTTGTGGAAGGTTTTGTGTACTTCAAAGAATCTTCGTCCGCGAAGGGTTAATGTTTCCCTTGTATTCGCTGAACTGATTCGTATTCCTATTTAGAATGAGCCTGAACGAAAGTTTCTACGTTCAGAAGCGTATACGTTAGAAGTCGAATAATGAATTTAAAGTATCTTCAACGTGATTTTGAAGCACGGAGTCATAGAATCGACGTCTGAAGGCTCTTTCTTTCTCGTTTAGTGTCGTCGCTGCGAACGGTCCGGTCCCGATGTTAGAGGAATCAATTTGGAGGGCACTAAATTGTTGAAAAGCGACGACTCCCTCCACCGTGACCGAATAAAATGGGTCATCGTAACGATTTACACGCGACAGTGTTAAAGGTTTCGACAAATCCGATCGGTCGTTCAATGGATACCTTTTTCTCGGTTCCGTTCTCGAACCGACTGACCGGCGCAACCGAGCAATTTGCCGCGTTAGACCGCACTTCGCACTTCCCTGAAAAACAACTAGTTACGCCGCATCGTAGCGCGAATTACTAATTTCTTCGCGGTGCGCGATTCACACATGGCGCTGCGATACATCGAACGTGTTCTCAACCGATCTTTCTACCTTTTCTCGATCCAGATTCGAATACTTTATACGACAATTTTGGGACGTTGAAACGATCTGCTGCAGGAAAATCGTAGAATTTGTAAAACTATAACTAAACTTGTAAAACTACCATTTTCCGATGGACACGTGAAAAACTCGTTGGTATTTTTTAATTTAAACAGATCTTTTGTAATTTTTTAATGAAGACAATTTTTATTTTGTTACTTGAATTTTCGTGTGATTGGATTTTTCCAATTAATCAACTGTTTTTTTGTAGTGTTTTTGAACCTTCTTGATTTTCTGTGCCGTGATAAAAGAGATTATGATTGTTTTGTAGGTATATAAGAGGATTATGTATGTTTCTTGTATTTTGCGATAGAATCGAGTAGATTTTTGGACTGGCAACGGAATCCTGTTTAGAGCCTCCTATGTATTCACTGTTAGATGACTTTTTTCGTTGGAGAAATTGAAATTTTTTTTCTATGAAAACGTAATTTTCTGTGTCAATTATAATTCGTCATTGTTCGCTAAATTCAACGGGAAAATCGCTAATATCGTGCATTAGAAGTTTGTTTTCAAGCGTCAGACGAATGATCGATCTTTCGTAAGCAATAAACTCCGAAAATCAGAATATAAAATAGAAGTTTCTGATATAATCACTCAACATTATTAGAATTAAGTCAGGACGATAAGTTTATTCTCTATATTCCATTGCGACGGATATTGAATCTTATTTCCAAAGTCTATCCACCTCAAAAAACTGAATCCACACAAATCCCATAAAAAATAATTCAACTTTATATTTTTCTATTCATTCAACTGAAATCCATACACATACATCTCCTGCCAACGTCTTCAATTTTTTATACACCTTTACAAGCGGCCATCCTTAAAACCTTAACATTTGACTGAACCGCGAAAGCATAAGTAAAATAAAGTATTTATCTCTTAAATTTCTCATTCCTTCCAGTTTTTAAAACTCAGACATACGTGTAATCCTTTCGAGACTATTGGGACACATAAACCTAGTCAAGTTTACAGAGATGCAAGCTGCTGATCTATTAAGATTTCTTGCATGCTACTTTATTATGAACGTGCCATTATTACTTTAAAGAACATAATCTCGTACTACAATTTCTCGCTGTTAAAAATTCGGTTAAGTGTCTCAAATATTTGAGTGACAATGTTTGTAGATCATTTTTCAAAAAGTGGTCTTGGAAAATCCGCCTCGGAAGCATTAAGGTGTTGTATAGCAAATTTAGCGGAACATCTTCACCAAAGAAAAAAATTAACAAGAAAATAATCGCAGAAAGGGATATCGTTGGTGGACACCACCATGTATGGAAGAATTTCTGGTCCCAAGATCGCGTAAGATAAAGAACGTTTGGAGAGCGAGAACTTAAGCGCATTGAATTTGTCGTTCAAACTCGCGATAAAAGTCGAGGTGATAAGCTTTTCGGTCAGCGGAATCGTCGCGAAACGAAGAAACTCGGATGGGTGGACCAGGAAGAGGCTTGAAAGGCCGCGGAGCGTCGGCGAGGAAGCGCGGGACGCTTGATCGAATCAATCTAACCTAATTATCTCCCCTGAAAATCCGGTCTCTTTTTATTACGCCTGTTTAATATTCATGGGAAACTCCGACGGTTAATTATTCGACGCGACAAACGGTTAATTGGAACGAAATCGAACGAAAAGTGCGGATTAATTAGGTGATTCGATTGCGGGCCGCTGATGGGACCGGAAGCTCCTCTGAGGACTCTGCAGAGAGCGCTGGTTGGCGTCGGTCCTTTTATTCCTTTTTTTTAATTCCTTCTTGTCAGATCTGAATTGGAACGAGTTAATTTTTGAAAAATGTCACGATCCATCTATAAATAGGTGTCTTTGGTAGGTTTTGGTAGTTTTGTTCGTATTTTTGGGAGATATCCTAGTCCTTAAAATGAGGAGTTTGGTTATTGATATACAGTTTTATTACGCGAAAACATTTAGATGTTCGTCGTGCATTTTGTTTGGAGATTTTTCATTCAATTTCGAACTAAATGGCGATGGAAAGTTACAAATGCGAAGTGTGTTAACGAAGTCTCGAACGAGAAATTATGATGTAGACTCGATAGATAAGGGGTGCGACGTCTGATGCTGCCGACGGTGAATAACAGTTCCTGTTTGAAGGAAATTTCCGACATTTTAGAATTTCTGAACTCGATAAGGAGAGAATACGTACGCTGTGTTATTGTTTTCCAATCTTCCACAGTGAAAATACCAACTAACAATGGTGTTAACTGGTTTCAGCGACGAGGACGAATGGAAACATCAAATACCCACGGAACATGATTGACTTTCACGATCTCCAATATTAGAATCGAACGAACGAAGCCTAACAAATAAACCCACAGCAGCTTCAACCAAAATCGCTAGATTCTCATCAAGTTTCATCCAGAAGAATACCCCGCGTCTACAAAATCTAAACATCCAACTTGCCTGGCAAGCAAAAAGCCAAGATCTTCTTAAAACATTCCCCTGTGCTTCGAAATAACCCTCGCAGCTCTACGAGTCACACGAGTTTCACGAAGGAGAATGCAACCGAAACAAAGAAACCAACCAAAACAAAAAGAAACGAAAGAACAATCATCAGGTGAATCAAGAAGAAAACGAACCTCCATCGCCTTGATCCATGCGCCGTCCGGTTCCCTCCATCGTTTCCCCGTAACGCGAGAATTCCCGTCTCCGCCACGGGGTTGGATCGCGGGAGCGTCGAAAATCGAGGCGAAAACGCGTCGTCGACCGAAC